GGGAGGTGCCACCTGTGTCCCCTTGTGCAGGTGATCAGTGGGGGACACTACGACGTGGACTGCTATGTGGAGGACCCTAATGGCCAGACCATCTACAAGGAGACCAAGAAGCAGTATGACAGCTTCCCACACCGCACCGAGCTCAGTGGTGTCTACACCTTCTGCTTCAGCAATGAGTTCTCCACCTTCTCCCACAAAACCGTCTACTTCGACTTCCAGGTGGGCGACGAGCCACCGATCCTGCCCGACATGAACAACCGTGTCACCGCCCTGACACAGGTGGGTCACCACACGCTGTGGTGGAATCACAGATTCATTTTGGTTGGAAAAGATCTACAAGATCATCAGGTCCGACCATTAACCCAGCCCTGCCAAGGCCACCACTGACCCATGTCCCTCAGCACCTCATCTACAGGGCTTGGAAACCTCTCCAGGGATGGGCACTCCACCCCTGCCCTGGGCAGCCCATTCCTGGGCCTGACAACCCTTTGGGGAAGAAATGTTCCTAATATCCAATCTAAGCCTCCCCTGGGCAACTTGAGGCTCTTTCCTCTTGTTTTGACACTTGATCTGCAACTGCCAGAGTCAGGGGGACTGAGGTGACACAGCGGGACAGCAGTTGGGTGTATCCACCTTCCCCTCCACCAAATGCAGAAGTGCCAACTGCCATCCAACTGTCCCTCTGTGTGCAGGGACGGGGGGGGCTGCTCTGGGGCTGAGTCTCCCCAGTTTCCATCCCGCTCAGGGGAAGTGTAGCAAAGCTTCCCCATCTCTCAGTGTGAGCCCGCAGGGTTGGCTGTGCACCAAACCCTGCCCGTGGTCCCCGGCACCTTGGCAGAGCTCTGGGTTGTGCCCTGGTGCTCACAGCTCACTCCACCAGTTCCATCCCCAGTATTGCCCCTCCAAGCAGAACTACTCTGGGGTGGAAGCTGGGAGAGCCCTCAGCTCCCCCGGGAGCCCTGGGCCCCATCTCTCAGTGTGAGCCCGCAGGGTTGGCTGTGCACCAAACCCTGCCCGTGGTCCCCGGCACCTTGGCAGAGCTCTGGGTTGTGCCCTGGTGCTCACAGCTCACTCCACCAGTTCCATCCCCAGTATTGCCCCTCCAAGCAGAACTACTCTGGGGTGGAAGCTGGGAGAGCCCTCAGCTCCCCCGGGAGCCCTGGGCCCCAGCTGTGCTGTGGCAGGGGAGATGGAGCCTGTTTGTCTCCACAGATGGAATCTGCCTGTGTCACCATCCACGAGGCCCTGAACACAGTGATCGACTCCCAGACTCACTATCGCCTGCGGGAAGCGCAGGACCGGAGCAGAGCTGAGGACCTCAATGGCCGGGTCTCATACTGGTCCCTTGGGGAAACCCTCATCCTCTTTGTGGTCAGCATTGGGCAAGTGATGCTGCTCAAAAGCTTCTTCACTGAGAAGAGACCCGGCAGCGGCGCAGCCGGCACCTAGAGCCAGGTGTGCCGGGCTGCAGGGGAGCAGGCAGGCAGACATCTCCAGGGTCATGTTTCCTTCTGATTTTCATAAGGTGCTGGGAGCTGGATGGGGGGGCCTGGCACTGCTGAGCCAGATGGGAAATGGTCACCAAGCAGGGGCATCCCCGGCCAATCCCCCCAGCATCACCTCCTGCCTCCCTCCCTGCCGCCCCGTCCCCTCGCCCCGCCGGTCTGTGCCCACTCCCCAGCTCCTCCAGGAAGTGGGTGGGTGTGCTGGGGTTTGGCGTCAACACCCTGGCCCCTCCAGTGCCCCTTCAGAGCCCGATGTGGCTGCAGGACACAGCCTGGCATGCAGCGAGGCTGGCGAGGGGATGGTGATGCTGACCCCCCCAGTGCCCACCTCCCTGCCCCAATCCGGGGCAGAGCTGTCCTGTGCATGGGGCAGAAGGGGGGGCAGCACAGTTCCCCTTTTCTTTAAGGCCACCAGTAGCTTCCCAGGAGCCCCTGGCACAGGAGCCAGGTTTCAGCAGGGGGTTTTTAGGTCAGTGCTTTGCTTTACAAGCCCCTGTCCCCACAGCGAAGCATTTTCTAGGTGCTTCCCTGCTACGGGAGCAGGTGCCATGCCCCGCACACGGGGGTATTTTCATACTTAACACCAGTCCCTCCCTGAGGCTTGTTCCCCCTTGCACCCCGCCGTGCCCAGCGAGGAAGCCCCATCCCCGACCCGCAGAAGCCAGGATATCCTGTGTCCCTGGGGTTGCAGCCCCCTTCCCTGGAGCCTCACAAAGCAGAGACCCCCACGAGAGACCCTGGGAGCCCACCCTGTGCGGGAGCACCCCAGCCCTGGGGAGAGCAGGGGATCTGCTCCGCAGCCGCGGCGGCACCGCTGCTGTTTCACTTTGCCACTTGGTAATAAAGCCCCGTGACCGTGGTTCGTGCCGCCGTTACTGGGCATCTCGGACCTGGGAGGGGCAACCGGGCACGGCTGGAGCCGAGCTGGCTGTCCTGCCTGTGCCACAGCACAGGACCAGAGCCAGGAGAACTTGGTGGTGGGAGCAGCTCTCCCAGCTGTGCCCCTCCTGACCTGGCCAGCTCCTGCACAGACCACATCATCAGCAACGGCTTCCTGGGGACTACGGGCAGATCCCAGGTGTGGGTCCCACCTGGCAGTGGGGACTGGAGGGGACAACGCAGCCCAGTGACCCACCACAGCAAAGTGGGGATCCCTGGGCAGGCGCTGGCTGGGGTCGGCCTCTTGGTTCAGTCCCGGCTCCAGCTGTTCCCAAGCTCTGCCCATAACCCTTCCCTGATCCCAGAGACCATTCCCTTGGGACATCCATCGCTCCTGCAGAATTGATCCTGGAGGGGCTCAGACCAGCTGCTCTGGAGCTCAGGGGCCAAGCACCCACA